CATGCACAGTCAGCTGGCGCACATCTGATATAATATATATAACTAAATAAGTTTTATGCGTCATTCAAGATGGCGGCCCCCGTATTTATTTCGATTTTATTTATTTATTAACACACAACATCCCCCGGAGGGGATGAAAAGGGTTACAAATCAGATATTAGTAAAAGAAAAATAACCACATAAAAAGTAAGGGAACAAAAAAGCATTAAAAAAAATGATAAAAATTTGTATAGAAGGAATGTGTTACTGGCTTAGTTTATGTAGGTGCTGCTGTCTTGTATTAAAACAGTTTTTTAAATATTGCGCTAAAGGAATAGACATTTTCTCGTCACTTAGTAATGATATGAATTTATTTTCATTACTAAATTTGTTAAAATTTGGTATACGTTTATTAGCTACAATGTAAAGTTTTAATCTTATTTCATTGTAATGAGGACAATTTGTGACAAAATGTTGTTCATCTTCAACATGGTCATTGTCGCACATATTGCAGACTCTGTCTTTAAAATCCAATCCTGTATGCCGGCCTGTTTCAATTTTCAGACAGTGGTTGCCAAGTCTAAATTTTGTTAAGGATTTGCGAAGTTCACTGTTTTTCATAACTGTTAAGTAGTTTTCTTGTTCTATTTTGGTTTTAAAAAGTTTGTAGGTTCTTAGTTTATTTTTAGAATTTGATTTTTTCCTGTTGTCATTATTTATTTCATTTTTCCACTCAGTTGTAAACTCTTATTTTAATTTCTCATCAATTGTTTTTAATTTTGATAATGAGATAATATAGTAAATATCGTATTTATTTTATTATCACGTGTGCGCCAGCTGACTGTGATTACATGGACCCTTACACCGCAGATTCAGCCGTGACGCAGTGCAGCGAATGCATTTCAAACAAACTGCCTGAGATAACTGGTCGAAAAACAAAAATAGAAAGAATTCCTTTTGTACCCCCATCCCTAACCCTAACACTAAGCCTACCCCTATCCTCCAGCACTCCCCATTTAATTGTACATGCCCCTCCTAAGCACATCTATAGTTATCTAGAGGGGGCATATACAAATGATTTGGGTAACAGGGAGTGTTAAAATTAAGGTTAGGGATGGGGGGTACAAAAGGAACTCTTTCCGAAGTTTTGACTTTATTTTTTTTAGTAGTAGTTTTGATCCACTTTTCGAAAACCTTTCATGTGTTCATCGTTCAGCCGCCATGCTGCATTCATGTAAATATGTATTTTGAAAATAATCTTTTTACCTGTTCTTGGCAATGCATTGATAAATTTCATTCATAGTTCACATTAACCCAGGTTCCTCGGTGTTGTTAGTGGGCTTATTATATTCCCTCGCTTGACTGCCCACTCAACACCGCCATGGATCCTCCTGTGCAACTTTCAGGGGAATGCGCAGCAAAATGTTGCGCAGCAGTTGTGGTCTAACAAATGCGCTTGCTGCAAGTTAATAATGATTATTAATAAAGTGTGACCCAAGAAATTAAATATAAATACCCAACTTCGGGTGATTTTGCATTAGTTTGCTGTGCGACAGCGATCAGCTGTAAAACGTTTGGCGTTACAAATACTGAACACTTTACGCATGCGCAAATAAAGGGGAATTGCCCGGTCACATGACCTGTCAGGTGGTTGTTTGCAGTTTGCACTTACGCACAACGTTCGGTTACCAAACTGGTTTCTCGTTTTGTGGCTCTTCGTTGTCGTACAATAATCCTGTACAAAAATGCTCTAAAGTCGTATGAATGGGTGATTTGTAGTGTCACATTTTATTGCTAATAATCAATACATTCGTTCTGACATGTTTTAATCTAGAAAGAGGTACACTTCTGTACCTAGTAAATTTATGTCAAAATGCTATGGAAGGATCCATGGCGTTGGTAGAGCGGACAGTCAAGCAACTGATATAAATATTGCCCGCTCGACACAGTGACATCGGTCCAGTTCACATAAGTTCACATATACACAATATATTACATGATAGTTAAAATTTCACAATCAAAATGTATTACAGCAAGTCTCAGAAGTATTGGGGCAGCCAATTTGCAAACTTGCTAGCGAATTGGCTAACTGCTTGGGTTTTGACTAAACAGTTGGCTTTCGAATCTCGCTGGCGCCGACTTGTGATCGCGTCCACTCTGGGCGAGTCTATATTGCAGTAGGGGACATAGAATGCTTTTTACGCAGACTGGTACATGTCTGGATTCCCCTATGAGTAATTTTGAGCCGGTTTGAGCCTGAAAATAACCACAGTCAGCTGGCATACAAGTGATAATATGATAAATGTGATTATTTCACCGATATTATATGAGGGTAGCCATCTTGAACACTGCTTGAAACAACAAAATGTAAATAGTCAAGGAGAGAAATATTTTCCTCAGGGAGAAAATAACTTTCACATACAAAAGATCCGTTGGGGTAAAATTAAGCCGACCGCTAAAAAAGTCATTTGTCATTTTTACGTGAATACGAAAAAAATAGAACACTTTCCCTAGTATATTTGTGAAAGCGAAATCGCCGCCCAACTGTAAAACCGTCGCTGATTAGCTCCTCGACTATGACGATCGTTCCCTACTGTTATATAGATTCGCCGTAAGTGGGCATGATCACAAGACGGCGCCAGCGAGATTCGAATGCCAACTGTTTAGCCAAAACCCAAGCAGTTAACCAATTCGCTAGCGAGCTTGCAAATTCGCTGCCCCAATACTTCTGAGACTTGCTGTAGGAATGTCTTTTGTCGAAATTTGTCAATTCTTGACCGCCTATGGGTGTGGGTGGGGGGGCTGGCTTTGTCATTGGCTAATGTTGGTATGTAGGATGTTAGGATCTACCATTTGAGGTAATTTTCATCAGATAACTTGTCATGGTATTTTTGTTTTCCAGCCAATTATCTCCAGCAGTTTGTTTGATATTCATTCACTACTAGTTTTTAATTTATTTGAGACCGTGAGGTTCTGTGAATGCTGAAAAGTGAAATAACAAAATAATAAAAAGACAGCCATATATTCACAGAATAAATATTTACAAAATCCACTGTGTTGAACTTTATTTTTATATACGACAGATGACAGTGAACTGAGAATCTGAAAATACTGTCTAGAATTTCAGACGGAAATCAAATATTTTAAAAGCATATCTAAGCAAAGATAATACAAATACAAGTAAAAGAAATACACCAAATTAACACATTGTCTGCGATTTTTGTATGTTCGTAGAGGCAATGATAAGATAACAGATAAGATAATAGCTTTATTACAACCGTGTAGAAAATTTTACATTTCTAATTTGGTGTTTAAAATGTCATAAAGTTAATAATGAATAACTAAAAAAGTAAGTAGGCAAAAGTTGAGTAAATAAAAAGTTAAATAAGTGTGACTGAGTGTATTCTTTTGTTTGTTCATTTACTGTTACTCAAGTACACGTAGAGGGCTATAATAGTATCTTTATCTTTTGATTGTAAGATATGTTTAAATTGTTTTTCTTTATTCAGGAAATGTGTTAAGATGAGCAATAGTATATTTAATCACATGGTTGAACTTTAACCTCAAATTTTGCGAATTGATGCAAAATATATCATTGCCAATAGCTCATTCAATTGATAGAGGGGTAAAAAAAATGATATTTCTCTTTTAAATTATACATTTTCGATTTGTGTCACCCCGTTATTTTAGGCTTCAGTTTACTGGTTCATATTTGTATCACCCCCCCCCCCCCTATTTGTTAATCTCTGTCATTCCCAAATCAAATTAACACACACACAATGGAATCTGTAGCATAAGGGTTCATGTAATATCCTGATTCTCAAAATACGACTCTGGAACCGCAAAACCATGGTTAACTTTTACTGTTGTTGTGCTCGAGTTTACACAATAATGTTTTAGATTCAGGGCACATGTTGTATTTTATTCGTACTGTAGTTACTAGTACATCCAGCACAGAGTGTACCATTTACTGTGACACAAAGTATGTTGTTAAACAAAATAGATTTATGGTGTTTGGTTTTATCAAAAAGCCTAGCTTTCTTGCGATTGAGAACTGCTAAATGGAAGTAGCGTGAGTGCCTTTCGGTGTTGGCTAAATTTCCATAAAAACGTTTACGGCTTTCTGAAATTTGAATGTATTCATGTCTAACAAGATCAATCTGTGGAATCCATTACCTGAATATGAACATGTTTTAAAATTTAAATGTTTAGTGCAAAACAGTAGTAATGATACTGGTACTTGTGATGTTGGAAATACATATCTGTGAATTATTAGTTTAAAAGTGGTTCGAATATATTTGATATGTCCCATGTAAGATGAAAAAAATGGTCTCCTGAATTAACGAAGAATGTGATCAACCAAAGTATAATGCTAAATTGAGATGAAGCACTGTGCATTTAACAAAAACATTGCCACAAAGACAAATAAAAACTAGATGATGGGTTGAAACCATACAAGTGGTAAATCCCACTTGATGCTGGCATTCATGTCATTCAAACAATTGTTTGCACATGTTCATACAGAAAGTGCAGTAGCCAACAGCCACATCACCTAAACAAACAAACAAGCTATATTCATCAATCCCACAAAAAAGGAATATTAATGGCCATTTGATAGAGGATAAAATGTACTCATAAACACTCATTAATCAGATTTGCTGACAGATAACTGAATCTAATTGTCTCCATCAAATTAAAGGCAAAACATGTTCTTTCGCTGAAACTTAATAGTACATTGGTCCACTTACGTCATATGTAAAGCGTTAAATAAAGCAGTAGCTATCTTGCTATGCATGTTGACTGGATGTGGGTCACCAATAATATCGAAAAACCTAATTGGCAATTGATTAGACCACTTGCTATTAGTCTCTTTGTCTATTTTGCCATATATTTTTTTTACAACTGGATGAGCAGTGTCCTTGTAACCAGTATATAACACAACCATATTCACTTAAAAATCACTTAGATGTTTGAATTCGATGATCAGAGCCACTTACTCTGAAGTGAACTTTTTTTTTACTATTAGTGCGAATTAATCTCTTGAAATTAGAATTCATACTACCGATAGTTGCATACCTACCGTACACGTGATAAAATTGACATGAATAAAAAAATCCCAAAATCGTCTTTAATGGGTTTTTGTTTGTAGGAGACAAACCAAAAAGACCATGCAAGGTGAAAATTAACCTGACAATCTAAAAAAAAAAATTATGTGAAGACTGACCATTTGGAACTAATATTAAGTCTCAACAATCTAAAAACAGAGGTCTAGAGGGGGGAGTACGTGTGACACAATGTAAATCTGTTAGTGGACAATAGGATATATATTTATTGCACACTGAAAGGAAAAATCGCACAAAAATGTACAATGATTTTCAACAATGAATATACATCATAAAAAAAAATACACTGCACAAACACATTGTCCAGTGTAATGTTATTTCACTTATTGTCAAACGTGAGACATCAAGGTTTCCTACATTAAACAATGAAATGTTAGTGGTGATATTTCAGATCAGACCATTCCCTAAGCAGAGTAAACATATGTCTGTGTATACCATGATTTGAATATGCAAATTTAGGGAAGAGCGAAGTAGTTTTTATTAACCAGTATTTGTGCGTTTCACCGAACAGGTTTCACCACACTTTGATTTTAATCCAATAGAAATAGGATTACCACACTCACTTTTATTTGATTTTAAGAGCAGAGAAACTAAGTTATGTAAATATGATACAACACTGTAGAATCTTCTGCTGTGACCTAAATTTGGTGACAAATTTGTGCCGGAAACTGAATTATCAGTGTCTGACCTACCCTACCCGTTCAAGTAGCAACATGCATGATGTCAGTCAGACAGTACTTTCTAGAGTGTTCTATGTTCCTGCGTTTTTTTTCTTACTGAAAATGTTGTTTTCTGTCAATTTGCTTCATTTGCATAAACACCACCTGATTTTATTTGGCCATACTATCAAAAGGGAATTGATAATTTTTTTTTTTAATTTCAGATTTAAAATGGCCAACTGAAAAAAATTAAATTGAATTCAAATTTTATTTGCTTGTTTATTTTATCTGGGGAATATGGTAGGCAGAAATCTGCGCTCACTACACTAAAGCCTGCCACATACTGCCCTCTATGATGCAATGCAATGTTACAGTCGAAAATTCTTGCGAAATCATGTGATTCCCAAGTGCAGAATGGTAAACTTGCACACCTACCCATGCACGACAAAAAGATGATTTATTTGTCTTTTTCTAGTTTCTGATTGGTAAACTTACAAAACTTAAATATAATAAGCTGGACAAATTTGAATCTAACATCCATGAAAATAACAAGCTTTTTTCTTCAATTTAGATTTCTTTCTTTTTATGGTAAAAAATGTCATAATGTCTCAAATTTAGTGAAGAAATATGTGTAGTTGAGTCTAATCATAAATATCCAGAATTTATTCATTTTGCAATAAATTATACTCCCATCCAATACATTTTCTAATTTTGATGAATATTTTTGTAATTTTTGGTAAAAAGTGATTTTTTCAACTTCTTGTTAAAAATCGTAAGTGCGATTGCTTTGATATAGTACATATAGAAGACCTCTCTCAGATTTGTACATTTTGTGATGTTATTTTCAATTCTGTCTCAGCCGAGAGAGATGCTGCTTGTATATGTCGTGTCTGATGGGTGTATTTTTGTTATCATGAATCATTTAAAAAATCTGAGTTTTAAAAATTGCTGAAAAATGTTGTTTTGCTTCATCATTGTTTTCTGTGAAAGTTGAACTTCTAAAATGTCAATTTTCGAAATATTATTTGGCTAATTTAAAAAAAAAATACAGTTGTAACATGAATGATGTTTTATGTTACCCTGGAACTATAGTTATTGTAGTTTTAGATAAAAAAACCCAATGAACATAGTCATGCACCAACTTTCTCAAGAACTATGGGTAAACCTTTACCTTGCCATGGTTACATCACTGAAATAACTACTGGATATAACAATTATCAATAGGCATAATTACTAGTAGGGGATTGAGACAAATGTATTTAATACCACTTGAGATAAAAAAAATAATAATTAAATGGGGCACTTTTAACTTAATGTATTTCAAATAATTTATTTAACTGAATCACATTTAATATGAAGGTGCTTTATTAAATAAAATACCTAGCAGGAATTGAAATAGGATTTTTCCCTGCATGCACAGCGTGCATGTTGAATTTGAAATTTACCTGCACTAAATTTACAGGTTCTCGATTGATGCGATCACAAAAGAATTTTTTTTTTTTTTAGTTGTCTTTACAATGTTGGTTGAACTTAATTTAGGCTTAGTGAATATAATGAGAAAATGTTGTGTTAATTTCTACATGTACAGTGTGTGCATTATATTTTGAGTTTACTTGCACTAGCTAATAATCTATGAGTATTTAAACCCTGTCTAATGATTATAAAAACCTTTTGCTTGATATAGACTAGTATTTTTCTTTGTTATTGAATTTCCATGAGAAATAATTAAATATTTACTGGATTATAATCTTTTAATTCTAAATAAACCCTTGAATGTATGCAAAGTCACTTCGCTAAAGGTTGTCAGATTTTGTTCTGTGTTTCTCATGTCTGACGAAGCCGAGACTGACCTTGACAATTTGTCAAAAATATTTGTTGTCCTCTGTCAATAAGACTGTATGAATGGACATTATAAAATCGCTCACTCGGTTGAAAACGCTGTTTTTATTACACTTTTATTTTTCATTGTATTTTTCACACTGACACAATATTGTATAAACTGGTAAATTGTTGTCATTAGTAATTTTAAGGGTGTTCGTGTGGAACGTAATGAAGGTTACTGTGCCCTTATGACCTCAAATAACCTTGGTGAAATGTACGTTCATTGTTACAAAATGTTGTTATTTTCCCTGACTCAAGAAATTCATGGAAATACATGTATGACTCGTGGTGTGTGAAAGCGGTTACGGTATATTCCAGCGGAAATGATAAATTTATCAAATGATTTTTGTTAGAACATTTTTTTTTTTATTTCTTGCGTATGTTTTTTTTTCTTCTGACAACCTGTTAGGAGCTGTTTCTGAAAAACAATTAAATTATCCTGAATCTTATTTACTTTTTTTTTTTGTCATGATCATCAATGATGAAAACTCTGGTATCCAAGTTGACAATGTGTTATTTTTTTATTATTTGTACTCTTATACTGCCAAGGGGATAAGACTGTAAAATACATTATTTTCGCTGGAGGAATGATTCAATGAAAATAAAATCTAGTGAATATACCCTTTTTCCTATATTTTACATTCAACTTTTCAAAATTAATTCAAGCTAAAATAAAGTATTTTATAGTAATAATTCAGTTCACATTGAATATGCTGTTGCCAGTGGGAGATTAATTAAAATTGAGAATTCATGCAATTTTTGTGAGTATTTATGATTAGAAAAAGTAGGCTTCCTTCTTTGCGAGACAAAAGAGACATTGAACATGACAGAAGTACAATGCATCATAAATCACATTCAAGATGATAAGCAGGTGTCGTTAAATTAGGGATGGAATTAATAGACACGCAACCCTGCGTTTACCTTTATCTTGCTACTATAATCCAGAAATAATATTGCCAGTTACAGAGCACTCTCTGTGTGGTGCAAAAGTAATTGCACGTTTGACACGTTTGGAGCTCATCGCAGTCAAATAAATACCACTACTCTTCCACTTCTTAGCACCCCTCCAAGGTTTGATTGTCTCAATTGTATATATTTTGTGTTTTAAAATTTCACATGTTATTATTTTACCTTCGCAGGTACGAAGTATGATTGCATTTAGAGAGATTTCGTCATTGTATTTACGATGTCCGCATCCGAGATTAGCTTACAGTTTGCGACACATCTCAATCTCAAGGTACGTGAGCCTATTAAAGTCTCTTAATAAGTACATGTACATTTTATATTGCACAAAGACAAATAAAAAAATAAACTAGACAGTAGTGTCCCATGATAATCCCAGGGACCGACAGGTTCCCCTTTGAATGTAAATAAACAATCTGTCAACTACTACTCCGTGAATTGAATGAGTAATGTATGTGATGGCCCTCTCTGTCACAAATACGTTGAGGCTATCCAACGCTACAATGGGGATAACTTATCATACTATGGGAGGCAATTAATATTTACATGCAAGTAATAAAAATATCCATATAGCTTCAAAACTACATTATCTCTGTTAATTTTAATTTTATATATCAGCAGGGAACAAAGCAGGGAGAAAAGCATAAAATGAAACAATAAAAACAGGTCAATAGCCAAGATTACAGTGCCATTATCATTTTATACACTGGCTACTCAGAATACTTAGCTTTTTTGTAAGGCTGCGAGTGAACATGTCTGATTTACCGATTTATTTATTGTGAAGTTAGGTCATGCAAATATGATACAACACTATAGAATCTTCTACTGTGACCTGAATTTGGTGAGAAAATTGTGCCGGAAACTGCATGACGTCAGTACATTCTAGAGTGTTCATTTTGAATTTTATTTTTTTTAAGGTTTTTTTTTTCTGAAAAATCAATTAAATTAAATTTTTTTAATTTTCATAAACACCACCTGATTTCATTTGACCAGCAAGCAAAATCTGTGATTTTTATTAAATTTCAGATTCAAGATGGCCGACTGATAGCCATTCTTTTCATGGAACACAAAAAAAAAAAGCAGATTGAATTTAAATTTTGAACCGATTTTAGGGTCAATCTACCTCCATCAATTACATATGATTCATATGTATTCGCTCTTTTTCCATCATATTACATGTGTATCTATGAGTACACATCTTCTGGTATATAGTATGTATTCCCCATTTCTCCATCATTCTATATCTATGTACAATAATCTCTATTATAAACGCATCTCTAAAGGAAGTTCACACAAACCAAAAATTGTATGTATAGTATACTGAATCATCTGACTTATTTTGACCAGACACACCTCTCTGTCATTCATGTAAGAGCATCTGCTGTTCATAGGGCATGTACTGTATGCTGTATTTCCTCCATTACAATCATGTGTCATGCCAAATTTCAACTTCCCAAAACGCAACTTTATATGGTCTTGCATGTATTTGAAATTAAAGGTGTGCTTATAATAGAGGTACTGCGGTAAAAAAACGAAACAATCTTAACCATCGAATGAACATCTTAAAGCGGGAAGGTCGTCACATGTGCGCGTGCGGGAATTGAGTCCCAAGTGACGATATCATGCGCTAAAAACACAAAGGCTCATGAGTAAATGCTTGTTTGTAAACAATGACACGCTATATGGCTATCTGATGCATGTGCAGGTGATGACTCCCTTGCTTTAAATAATTAATAATCTCAAGTCATAATGTTTTCTTTGTTTTTATTGCCATTAGAACAACTTTACAGAATCATTATGATGTTTTAGGCATTTCCAAAAATTCTAGCAGAGATATTATCAAAGAAGCATATTTTAAAAAATCAAAATTGGTAAGTAACAGTATTCTTCCACTGGTATTAAACTCATTAGATTCTGCATGGAGATATGCTAAACATCACCCCTCAGAACAAGCTAGAAAAAGCATGCGGTGGGGGGGGGGGGGGGGAGTAACTCAACTATTGTACTCTACCCAAAAACTGGCAAAATGAAACTAGGAATGTGAGTAGCATTCATTCACAGCATGGACTAAAAGGTCAAATAGCTTGTGCTAAAAAACATACGTGAACACTTAGCACAGGCTAAGTACAAATTAAATCTTGTCACATTTTTAAGACTGGCTAACATATTGTGCGTGAACGCTTAACTCGGGCTAAGCGCCCAAAACACCATTGTATTCCATGTTCTTTTGGAAGATTTACTATAGTTATATTCATAACTATTCTCTTCGTTATGCCATTTCTGACATGACAAGATAAACATGATAAACGCAAGCACATCGAGAGATATTGTTCTCGAGAAAAAATTAACCAAAGATGAGACTCTGTGATACTTCCTGTTATTCTGCAATCTGCACTTTCTGTATTTGCTTTGGTATTGTCTTTTAACCGTAGAAGTAACGTGTACATGTATACCTTCCTAGTTACTGTACTGCCATCACAGTTTATGTGTTCCTTGTGCAATTGGGTCTATCACATATGCAGACATATGAGATTAGCTTAACTCTCAGCCCGTACTTCATGTAGCATGAATTACTATTTCTGTGTTAACTCTAGTATGCATCATTAAAATTCAAATTGACTCACTCAAATTTCTATTTTTAACTCCGCTGTCAACTTTGTCGAGCGGAGCTTATCATATGAGTGATTGTCCGTCGTCGTTGTCCGTGTCAATGATTTACTTTTTCGAATTCTTGTTGAAAACTACAAGCCTGAATGCTTTGATACTTGGTGTATATGTACCTTGGGTAGACCTCTCTCAGATTTGTTCATTTCATGATGATATCTTCAATTCTCTAATTTTGGTGAATATTTTTGTCATATTTGGTAATAAGTGATATTTTCGACTTCTTGTTGAAAACCGCAAGTCCAATTGCTTTGATATCACATATATAGGTACTACATGTGGACCTCTCTTAGATTTGTTCATTTCATGATGATATCTTCAATTCTCTAATTTTGGTGAATATTTTTGTCATATTTGGTAATTAGTGATATTTTCGACTTCTTGTTGAAAACCGCAAGTCCAATTGCTTTGATATTACATACATAGGTACTACATGTGGACCTCTCTCAGATTTGTTCATTTTGTAATGATATCTTTAATTCTCTAATTTTGGTGAATATTCTTGTAATTTTTGGTAAAAAGTGATATTTTTTACTTCTTGTTAAAAACCACAAGTCCAATTGCTTTGATATTACATATATAGGTATTACATGTGGACCTCTCTCAGATTTGTTCATTTCGTGGTGATATCTTCAATTATCTAATTTTGATGATTATTTTTGTAATTTTTGGTGAAAAGTGATATTTTTAAATTCTTGTTGAAAACAGCAAGTCTACATACTGTTCATTTTCTAATGTTATCTTCTGTTCTTTAATTGAAATGTACATTGCTAACAGCGGAGCTATCTCAGCCAACATGCTGCTTGTTTTTAGTCCCCATTTGATCGAAGTTCAAAACAGGGACTTAAAATTTAGTCTTCGACCGTCTGTCCTTCCGGAGTCATATTTTAGAACCTGTTGACCAAATCTGGATCTTCTTTGCATGTGTTTAATACTTTATCTGGGACATATGCACAAGTAGTGGTTTACTGATTCAATTCGAGATGGCTGACTGGCAGCCATTTTGTTTTTTGAAAAATGTAGTATCTTATGTGTGCTTTGTCAGTTTTTGGTATATACATTATACATGTTAGGAAACATATCTATGATGTTTCGTTTCACAATTGGATCAAAGATGGCCGACTGGCAGCCATCCTGTTCTTTTGAAAACATGGTTTATGTTGAGCAGGATTAGTTGATTTTCATTCAAATTTGATACAAACATTATACATGTTGAGATACATGTACATGATGATTCATTTCAGGTTTTATATCTCTGTACATGAGTCTGGACAAATGAAATTCAGTTTGTATACATAAAATACATGAATAGCATGATATCCTATTTAATTTTAGATCATATATTATGATTTTGGAGGACTCATTTAATCCATCTAATTTCTGTTGATTAGACCAGCCAATTATTCACTCTAAATTATTAACTATGCTTTTGGTCCATATTAATACTTTATTTTTGGCATGAATAATATTTCCCTTAATTCCAACAGGGACTATTTCATTAACAATGACTTTTTACTCACACAAATTGCAAACCACATTATGTTGGAGGGTACACTGGGCCTCACCTTACCACACATTTTATTTTGAAAGTACAGACAACTGACCTGCAAAGAAAGAGAAAAGCTTCTAAAACATTCATTGTTTACAAATCTAACTTAATTTAAGAAGCTTTCTTAATTTCATATTCTGCAGTTAATTTTCCATTACCCCCGTCTGCAATCTCAATCTCGTTAAGTTGCCTTATAACTGCATACTGTCAGTGTAGTTGAATTGAGATAATACATAAAGTTAATGGCTTACTTCATGCATATAAAATGAAAAATTTACTAAACAAGCTGATTAAAATTGAAATTTCTCAAAGATGCATAATGATATAAAAAGGCTGATGACACAGGTACTTCAAAGGCATGTATTAACCTGGCCCAATACAGTTTCATTAAAGTCTTTGGAATTTTTTCTGTTTTTTATAAAAAGATTTTCACTGGGTTTTAAATTTTGCTGATTTACCATTTAAGGCATATTCAGTGGGTTTTAGATTCACAGTTTTATCATTTAGATAATGTGTTTTATGCTGGGTTTTAATTTAGCGCATTTTCCGGTCAGCAAAATAAGCAAAATTAAAACCCAGTGAATAATTAACCCCTTTACAGTGTACAAGGTCATATGTAAAAAAAAAAAAAAAAAAAATCACAAACCAAATTTTTTTTTTATGATAATACTTTATGCAGATTATTGAGTTAATAGATGAACTCTCTGTGTGCAAAGTAAAACATGATCTGTTTATTAGAAAATTGCTTTGCAAGTTTTTGAAACTTACCGTAAGATAATGAAACAGTGTCGATTTAGAACTACATTGTATATTTAAATACTAAAAGGAAGAATGTGAACACAACAATACATGTATTTTGCAGTTTTAGTCGTTTGCTCCATAATAATACATGGGTGATATATTGTGTGCATGCAGCATGAAAACTCCTACATGTCCACTTCATCTACGTTTGAGAAATTGTATTGATCAACCTTAGGTGGTTGTACTATGTTTGTATGTCTGAGTTAATGTGAGTTAACATTGTATTATTCATCTCGTGTGGACAAATTTGTATGCATGTTGTCCTGTCCTATCGTAAAGTGCGTACTAATAATGAAATATGCATTTCACAAGCCAAATTGATTTTCAGTGCAATTACAATTCCTCTGACCTCTGTGTGAAAAAAAATCAGTGCAATTCCGACTTACAAATTTTTAATATGTTATTACGGAATCTCAATGTATGCTAAAGTAAATAATAAATAAAGGCAGAACATGGGATGAAAATCCTATTTAAATCACACGATAAGTGTGTGCTCGTCGGTTACTTTGTGAAAGTTTGAAATAATCGCCTTTATCAGACATGCAATGTATACATGCCGAGAGTTAAACTGCAGTTTGACAACAAATTTGCATACTGTAAAATACTTTATTTTCGCTTGGAATTAATTTTGCTGAAGTAATGATTCAGTGAAAATAAAATCCAGCGAATATACCTTTTTTCCTATATTTTACATTCAACTTCTCAAAAATCAGTGAAAATAAATTCTATACAAAACACTTGAAAAGTCTTGTCAGCAAAAATTAATTGCAGCTAAATTAAAGTATTTTACAGTATTTTAGATTACTTGCCCTTCTAGGAAATGCATGTTTGGCTTGACAATTTCAGCACAGTAACCATAATCAATCAAAATAAACAATATTTTAGTTTTTAACCGTGCATTCATATTGCCAGATACAATAATACATTATCATAGAATATTTTTGTGAGTGAATAAAGAAAAGAAGAAAATTCTAACATTTTTCACAAATTTGGAAATATCTGAGGTAAATCAAAAGCATAAACTAAATATAAGAGTTAAATTAAATAATCATTTTGAACAGTCATTATTATTAAAATTGAAAAATAAAATCTTCTCCCAAATGAAAAAAAATTATCAGAATGCCAGATTTTCTAATCTAATCTTATGAAAAAAGAGCACTCAAGCTTTTTCTCTGAAGTACATACATTGATCATATGTAAGATAAGCCAACATACTCAAATCCCGGCTTATTCCAAAGTCGTTTTTTCCATCGTGTTACAATGTAATGTTTGTTCATGTATTATGAAACACTGATCGACAAACAGTAAAAAGAAATTGCAGAATGTTTTGTTTGTTCTGTTCAGTGATATTGAACTTATAATAAGCATGATAGTCTGTTATAATTTCTGGTTACCGGTGGCTGCTGCTAACACAGTTTTGACAAAGGAATTTTCAGATATTTGGGGATATTTTGTAGCTGGTTGGTTATTTTGTAGCTGGTTCTAATTATTTTGTAGCTGGTTCTGGTTATTTTGTAGCTGGTTCTGGTTATTTTGTAGCTGGTTCTGGTTATTTTGTAGCTGGTTCAAAGAAAATTGTTTAAGGTAACTCAATGACTTGCCGACTGCCATGTGCAAAGCACACTATGGGAGTTTTTGCATTTATCCTGTATGTATGTATGTATGTATGTATGTATGTATGTATGTATATGTGTGTGTGTGTGTGTGTGTGTGTGTGTGTCTGTCTTTCTGTATGTATGTGTGTTCCAGTATAACTATGTCCTAGTCATCACATTTCAGTGAAACTTGGTACATAGATGTGCTTGGACAGAGATCTGTTTAGTTTTAGGTTGAAATTAGTGCATAATAATTAGCTCATTTGCTTAGTAATTACATTTTCAATGTTTCCATCAATATCTCAAAAATCATTGCACTGCATCCAGGAACAGTGCACAAACCTTATTAGTTTTTATTTACATAATAATTAACCTGTTTAGTTTTAGGTTGAAATTAGTGCATAATAAATAGCTCATTTGCATAGTAATTATGTTTTCAATGTTTCCTTCAATATCTCAAAAATCATTGCACTGCATCCAGGAAACAGTGCACAAACCTTATTAGTTTTTATTTACATAATAATTAACCTGTTTAGTTTTAGGTTGAAATTAGTGCATAATAAATAGCTCATTTGCATAGTAATTATGTTTTCAATGTTTCCTTCAATATCTCAAAAATCA